TGTTGGCATACTGGTACATTGAAAACTAACACAATTATTGTAGCATGAGTTTCCTAGGGTTATATCAGAGGCATAAGAGACTCTTTATAGCATTAATGGGCTGAGAGATGGTCCACAGGAACCCATGCTAGAATAAATTTGTTACGAAAATATTCTGTTTTGACTATGCAGGCCGCACTACACTGCACACAATGCTGTATTTTTTTTCCTAGGCATTTGCACAAGGAAGTATTCATTATCCCTTTGGATAGGCAGAAGCCCAGCAGTTGTAGATGGAGCAGTGCCCCCTCTTCTGAATGAAGCAAGCCAGAGGTCATGTGGTGTGCTACTTGTACAGGTCCTTATGGCCCATGTTGCCTCAGCAGGCCCTCAGTCTTCAAGGTGCCTGCCTGAAAGGACTACTTGCAGAGCTTTTGTATTGCAATGAAATTGAGAGTCCAATTAACACATTCTTGATTTGTCTACCGTCAATTTGTGTAGCTCGGTAAATTTAATTTCTAATCTGGTAATTTACTGCATCGGCAAACTAACTTCTCTCCACCAGAAGGCTACATCAATGACAACCTCAATGTAAGTTTTTATTATAAGTTAGCTAGAACAGAGGACAGGGCCTTCTCCGTAGCAGCACTCCAACAACGCAACTCTTCCCACTAGATTTCCTTCTTTAGGTTTAAGCAAAACTGATTAAATCGTCTTCGTTCCCATTGCTTTTGAGCTGTTCTTCACCCTGTTCACCCCTCTTTTTGCCTCCATGTAATAGATTTACTGTAGTGTATCGGGCACTTTAAAGGAGGGTTCTGACAGCTGTAGGAGACAGGTGGACCTTGCAGTGAGGTGATGCCTAGAGGGTTTGATTTGGGGTGATGGAGTTATGGGTATTTATTGAATGTGGGTTTTGTGTACGTCATGTCGTCTTCGGAATAAAGAACTGTATGTGGAAGCAGTTGTCGTGTCTGGACTCGCAACATTATACTGGTGATGAGGATGGGATTTTGCTTCCCTGCAGAGGGTATGTTGGACTGAATTAATTACCTGTCTGTGGGCTAACTGTTGAAGAAGTGAAGGTCGAGCTGTGGAGATGGCTACCCAGGGATATTTGGAACCTTTTGACCCAGCTGTTGCAGACTGGGAAACTTACATATCAAGGTTTGAGTTTTACTTTGCTGCCAAAAAAATAATCGAAGCAGAGACTGTTAGAGCTGCCTTTCTCAACACTTGTGGAATGCCTGTTTTTGAGATAGTGAGAGCGTTGTGCGCTCCTACCCCTTTAAAAAAACATCACCTTTTCAGTCATCAAAGACAAGCTGCAAAACTATCACTGCAACCGTCAGAGATTGCTTGTTGGCATGCTTTTTACAAGTGTGACCAGGGGCCTGGCAAGTCAGCAGCCAATTATGTTATGGCCCTTCGACAAGTGGCAAGACATTGTAACTTCACAGACCTCAAGGAGGCATTGAGAGACTGGTTGGTTTTTGGCAAAAGGGATGAAAAAATGCAACATCAATTTTTGCAAGGAAAAGTCTGGATTTCAAAACAGCTTATGGAGAGATTTTAGCTGTAGAAGCTGCACTGAAGAAATTTGACAGGAAAAGACTCCCCCACTGTTTAGAAAGTCGGAGAACGTCCATCAAGGGCAGTGGGAGGACTCCTCTTCTAAGGAGGAGGAGGGAGAAGCTGTAATGCGAGTTATCCATCAGAGAGGTCAAGGAGTAAAAGTACCGCCAGAAAATCTGTGTGCCGATTGTGGAGGGCCCCACCTGAGGAAGGCATGTCAATTCCGGAATGTACAACGCCAAAGATGTGGCAAGGTGGGGCGTATTGCTCGTGACTGTCATGCTGCATCTTACTCGAGAGCAGCTGAAAAGGGGGAATCATCAAGCGGCTTGGGCATCCAGAAAGGGCTACAATCAGCAAGGCGAGTGTCACACCCTTTCCTTGCGTTCTGTTGAACTGCCAGAGATTAAAGGAGACAGCTTTGTTATGACTTTACAGCCAGCAGTTCGATCAAAGATCAGAGTGACTGTAAGAATTCAGGATGTGCCCTGTGAAATGGAGGTGGACACGGGTTCTGCATTGTCTATCATTGCAGACCAGACACTTCAGCAGATTTGTCCTAAGGGATGGAGGCACAAATTGGAGCCATGTGATGTACTTGTTAAGGATTTCCAGGGCAAGCAGGTTCCTGTGCTGGGGAATGGGCACCTTTGAAATAGCCTATAAGGACTGCAGAGGGCCAGTACTGGTGGTAGTGGCAAAACGGCAATTACCAAGCCTACTGGGATTGGAATGGTTTGAACCATTTGGCATCTATATTTGTGGTATTCAGCAAATCAAGCATGCCGATGTTACACCTGTAAGGAGTTTGCAGCAGTATTTGACAGCCCTTTGGGGAGTTACACTGGGCTGCCTATTTCATTTAATTTGAATCCAAGAGTGGCCCCCATCCGTTTAAAGGCACGTTGGGTTCAATTTGCCCTTAAGCCTAAAACTGATGAAGAACTGGATCAGTTGATAGCATGAAGAATTGGATCGGTTGATAGCTCAGGGGGTCTTAGAGGCACTGCCCCATGCTCAATGGGAGACACCTATTGTTACTCCTCTTAAGGCAAATGGGACTGTGCAGATTTGCGTGGATTACAAATGTACTGTTAATCAAGCATTACATAAGCATGCATACCTGGTGCCAGTAGTAAGCCATCTTCTGGCAACCCTGAATGGTGGAAAGATCTTTGCAAAGCTTGATCTGGCCCAGGCTTATCAACAATTACCAGTAGATGATGCCACTGCAGAGGCACAAACAATTGTAACACATGGGGGGAGCTTTTAAGGTAAAGCGATTACAGTTTGGTATCAGTGTAGCCCCCGGGATATTTCAAGACATTATGGAAGGCCTCTTGCAAGGGTGCCCAGGTGTCATCCCATATTTTGATGATGTTTGGTAGCTACAGGTTGAGGCTGTTAGCCGAGCGCGACTCCATATGGTGTTAAGTAAACTTCAGGCAGCAGGTTTGAAGGTTAATTAGAAGTGTCAGTTTAGAGTCCCACAGGTGGAATTCCTTGGATTCCTGATTGACGCTACTGACTGTGGTTCCAATGCTGCCCCAAGACAAGAAGAGTGTTTATTCACTGTATGTGAGACATCTCAGTTCTCCCAATAAAGCACATGATCTTTCTGAAAGCTCTTGCCAAATAGATCACAACACACAGAGAGAGGAAGAGCTAAGTTGCTTCCTTGAAGAGACTTCACTCTCATTCAGATGCATCTTCTGAAAGCAATACAGTACTGTATATTAGGTATAAAACCAAAGCATCCAAGTTGTTCTGGGTTCCATGTGTCCCTTTCACACAGGACCTTCAGGAGCCCTGTAGGCATGATAAAAGTTACCATGATGAACAGAATTTAAACTTAGGTTTGCACTATTTGATTTTTGCATTTCTTAACAGAGAATCAAAGACTTCAGAGCAGCTAGTCGCTGGTCTCCGTTTTTTAAAAGCTCAACACAAATTTACAATTGATATCTTTTTCAGCACCAAGACAATTGAACAACCTTTTCTTCCTTTCAGGAGGAAAAACTGTTTTAGTAGACATAAAGAGCTACTGAAGCCCAGTAGTGCAAAGGAACAAATGGGTCCCCTGAATTTTCCAGAACTACAGTAACCACCACCTTATTGTACCTTCACATATATGCATTCATGGATACTGTCAAAAATAAATAGAAATCTGGATATTTTTTTTTACTAAAGTTAACAGAAAAGCAGCAACACTTCAATCTTGTAAAAAAGGTGATCTGACCAAAAATAGAAGAGGGAATAACTTTTAAGCAATGGATGATCTTAAAGCTAGAATGCTATCTGTTGACACTTAGCACTCAGTGATGCACAACTCCTTAAAGCATCCTATCACTTGTGGGTATTAACATTGGTTTAAAGCAGGGGTCTCCAAACTATGGCCTGCAGGCCACACCTGACCTGCCTTGCCTTTTTATCCAGGCGGGTAAGGAGTGCAGGTGTGCAGGAGTGTGCATGGGCATGTTCAGCCCTTGAAAATCTAGACTATATGTTGTGGCCCTCACTCTGAAAAGTTTGGAGACCCCTGGTTTAGAGTTATGCTAGTGTCCTCCCTCCCCTTTCCAGGAACTGTACATTGATATTATGTCCTAATGAAATACTGGGGATAATAGCACGAGAAGGAGTTTCCTACCAGTAAGGCTAAACTCAGGAGGAACTTTTCCCAAGTAGTTATGGGAACATTCTTGTTATGCTCTGCTTATTTTTTGTTTCTTTGTTTGTGTCTCATACTGGATAGCAAAACATATAACACAGAAGTCAGTACCCCTGAATGAGATAAGCAGCTAGCATTTATGCAAACAGGTTCTATAGAACAAGGGGCCCCAACTCCCAGTCCACAGCCCAGTGCTGTTCCATGGCCTGGGCCGGACCAGGCTGCAGAAACAGATCTCCCACCCACCCCACACGGATTCCCCCCGCACAGCCCCTTCATGCATACGTGTGAGTACAAACGCCCCCCACCCTTCACATATGCATACAAGTGTGTGCGAGTGCCGCCATCTGTCTCACTGCCGTTCACGTATGTGTACAAGTGTGCATGTGCACACGATGCCCCCCACTCCTTCACACATGTGCGCAAACACCCGCATGAGCGCACACCTTCACGCATGTACACGTGCCTTCCCCATGGTATTAAAAAGGTTGGGGAGCCTGCTGTAGAAGACAAAAGCTGATAATCTGGACTCAGCCTCCCCAGACTATGTAAAATAACCTCAGGTCTTGAAAACATAGAAGCTGTGTGTGTGCAGCCAGAAGTGGACAGATCAAACTAGAACAGATTTACCAAATCTGGGGGAAATTTGGGTGGAAGGAGTGGTCAGAAACAGCATAAAAATTACCTGAAAACCCTGGCTTACTACCCTAGAACCAAGCCTACTACTCACAGGCAAAAGCCACTGAGATTTAGCTCATTTCCACAAAAGCCACCGGTACCAGTTTCATCAGAATTTTTTATTCTTCTTACAGGAGTTTACAAAGGTTGTCTATAGATCTCAGTGAGAGTACCTTAAAAGTGTCAAGGTTCATCAGTGACATGTTAAAACTCTCCAGACATGCAAATTTCACAGGAGAATCCCTGGTGGCTCATATACTCATAGTAACAACCACGTTGCTTTCTAATGATTCCATGATACAACTCTAACAATGCAACTTTCAGACACAAGCACTTTCAAAAGATGGAGGAAGGGTTGAGTTGAATCAATGGGGATTTGGTAAATTAACTTTTCTGTAAGTTCCATCAATTCAAATTGGCCTATTCTAACTGTGAGCATATTTCAGTTAGAGAAGACTCATTTGAATCAATGGAAGTTATGGCATTAACTCACTAAATCCCCACTGATTCAGTGGGCCTACTCTAGTGCAATTTACTATGCTATGCAATGATTTTGGCCATTAAGTTGTTGTAGTCACTACCAAACAGCACAAAAGAACCAGAGGTGTTTCTTTCTCCAGACACTGAGCTACAGCAATGTTTTTGGAGTTAGACTTGCAGATGCAGTCTGATATTTGCCAAATGTTTCATCACCAATGTACATACCCTACACCCACCCACACATTAGAACAGGAGACAATGGTTCACTTTATATGCCATCCTGAATATGCTCCTAATGAGATAAAGGAAGAGCAGCGACTATCTGCCATACCACCTTGCAAGTAATTAAATGATTTAGCCACAGCCACTGCAGCAGAGCTACTTAGACCTAGTCAGAGGTCAAGTCCTCAGTCTTTGTGGCTTCCAGTGAATTATGCAGAAATAGAACCATCCATTAGTGTGGAAGGATGCTCTGTGTGCTGATTTCTTGCAGCAATCATGGGAACTACTGCAATGAACATTTTAAACTATGCAATCAACAAAGGGCTGTAAGAGAAATTCAGTCCATTCAGATTGAAAAGAATCTTAGCTTTTTCTTAGTGTGTTTTCACCCTAGGCTACCAAAAAGTTGAAACAGCACATTAATAACTGCACAGGGAATACAAAATGGGGAATGGATATGAATACAAAAATAGGGCAAACAGATTGAGAGATCACTCAACAGTTTCCAGCCAACAAGTGTAAGATGGCCTTACTCAAGGCCATCTCACACCTTCTTCCAGGGAATTCAATCTAGCATTTGTTTCCCTAATCAGGGGCCAGGTGCTAATACAGTTCCTGCCTGCTCATCTGCAAGGCAGAAGACTGTGCATACCTTCTTCAGAACTGACCTTCTAAGTACAGTAGCAGGACATACAGCAACTACAGGAGATGCTGCTATTCCTCTTATTCCTTGGGACTCTCTGTCCTTTTTTCTTACAGAGGTTAAAGATACTAGTTGTTTGTCCTGTTTTATGACAAATCTTTTAAAATATGGCTATAATGTATTCAGGTTAACTTGGCAGAAAACCTTTTTGTACAATTCAGAAAAAAAACTGTGCTTTCTTTTAAAATATTATTTTTCAATTGATTTACATATTACACTATGAATGGGGATGGCCCTATAAACATCATCCATGTACTCCATCCACACCTGTAACTGTGGGAAAGGGCATATGTCAAACAAGCCGACAAACTGACACAAAAGGGTGCAATCATTACCTTTAGAAGCAGAACACTTGAGGTGCAACTTTGCTCAATGCTCTGGCATCCTACTGCCTTTAAAGGCAAAATAGGCAACTACAAACCTATAGACAGGATTTCTGTAACTCTGCTCTCCAGGAGCATTCAGGAGGGCAACTCCATTACTCAAATCAAAGGAGATAAGCCGTGCAAAAATTGCCACATATCACCTCTGCCCTCCACTGGACTGTGCCTCTGATTAGATTCCCCTAGTTTTCCCCAAGTGATTTTCCCTTATCTGTGGAAATCTTTATGACATGCAAGTGAGTAAAAGAACCTCAGCACCAATGCAATTGTTTGTGGCCATATCACTTCTCAAATACCCTTAATCATGCATACTGTGTACCAGTCAACCAGGATGGTGTGCAGCTTTGAGTAATATACTGTCCATCTTAATGCAAATAGGCTGGTTTTCCAACACACACCGTTTCCCAAAAGGGCTATACATAGATCAGATGAGGCCAACTTGCAGTGATGGAACTGAAATCCCTTTGTCTTTTGAACTTCTCAGTAGCAGTATCTAGTAGCAGTAGCCACAGGCAGTCTTCAGGAAGCACTGAAGTGTCCTCCTTTCTTCAGATCTGGAGATTGATAAATGGAGCAAAGCCTACAACATCCTGCAACAGGACCAGGGCACGCAGCAGCGGAGGTTCCACATCGAGTTCCACACCACGATTGCGCAAGATGCTTAGGCTGGATTCCACCACATCGTGACAGTGCTTCACCTTCAAAGTGCGCAACTTAGGACAGTACTCTGCCACGGTTCTGCCAAAAGAAACAATATTAAAAAATCAAGATAACTGCAAGCAGGGGACTTATTTTTAAATAGTTGAGGCAGAGATTATAAACAGAAGATACATTCCTAACATTAACTGTTACAGAATCTCAGCTAGTACAGTGGTGGAAGGAGTTCAGAGACCTAGAGAGGCGGGGAAAGCAACAATGTTCAAAGGACTGGAGAGTTGCTGAGATTCAGCAAAGGGTTGATCTGTTACTGTGTCATCATGAACAGAAAGTATCCCAAGGGCTGATTTTCCCACACTTACAGAGGAAATCATACACTAGCAAAAGTAAAAGGAGAAAAAGAAAAAAACAAACAAACAGAAAGAAACTGCAAGCAAAATATAGTAACATTTTGAAGACAAACACATTTCATTGTGAGCTTTCATGGATCAAAATCCATACATCTGAAGAAGTGGATTTTGAGCCATAAAAGATCACATTGTCCATAACCCAGTTGCTTAGAGTAGCAAATTATCCTAGAGCAGGCCTACTGAATCAATGAGAATTTAATGTGTCAACTCCTCTCTAAATTTTATTGATTAAAATGGGCCTATAACTAATTGCAACTTAATTTAACATAGCAGGTCACGGTTTGAGTAGATCCTTATGGAGAAGTTGACTCACTAAACCCCATGATTCAATGGCCCTATTACTACATGAAACAACAGAATTTTGGCCACAACAACAAATGTGTTAGTCTTTAATGTGGCATGCTTTCCCCTTTAATTTCGACAATATGCTGAGAAACACAAGCACAGCTACTTCTTTGGAAAAAGGAACTCAGCATATTATTTCCATGTGGGCATTTTGTGTTGCAACTCTTTGGCTAAGAAAATTCATGATACAACTTGATCTTCTACGTCAATCCACTGCCATTTGAATTGGCCTAGGGTTGCAAAAGTTTATTCTATGTCAAACAAGAAAGTGGCTGTAAATACAATTGGAGAGGCTGGGTGAAGTTTCCACTAACCAGGGAAAGGGCACTGAATATTCTTTTTCATGACTGAACTTCTTAGCCAATAGTTGGACAATATCCAATGAATCCTTTGCTCCAATCTCTGGCCGGTGAAGCTGGAACAATGTATTTTTAACACAATCAGAATTAGCATTCTAATCAAATATGTGTTTTGACTATAGATTTATCATCATGCATGGCAGATGGTGAATTTAGGCTTGAAGATGCTTTTTAAAAAACATTTTATAGATATACTAACAAATTTATATTTACCGGATAAAATCAGGCATACTCACTGAATCGTAAGTCCTAATTTAACAAATCGCATTCATTAAATGGCTCTGTCCTACTTGAGACTACCTTCTGGATTTGGCTCACATATTTCACAAATCCTGATCTTCCACTGTTGAGAGCCTAAATATTCCAAATTCCAGATAAATTCATTTCTACGAATACATTTTGATTTTGATTTTTCTACTGAAGCAGAAATGTGAAACATTGTATTTTAGAATGCAAAATCAAAGTGACTGTGCCTAGAACAGACAGTAGGAAAGAGCCTGAGGAATCATCATTAGCCCATCAGGTACAGAGCAGCACATCTAGCTTGGATGTACAATCACTGCACACATCTGAACAAACTCCATGGACCTTTCATCTCCTCCTGAACAAGAGTTTTCTTGTGTTGCTTTGCATATGGTGCATAGTTTCCAAGGCTGAGCACCATTTATATGTAATATTATACAGTGGTGCCTCGCTTAATGATTACCTCATTAAATGACGAATCCGCTTTACGATGAGGTTTTTGTGATCGCACTAGTGATCGCAAAACGATGTTTAGATAGGGAAATTTTGCTTGGCGATGATCGGTTCCCTGCTTTGGGAGCCGATTTTACACTAGACGATGATTTTAAACAGTTGATCGGCGGCTCTGAAATGGCTGCTCGCTGTGCAAAATGGCTCCCCGCTGTGCTTTAGGACGGATTCCTCGCTTTACAGGCACTGAAAATGGCCGTCCCTATGGAGGATCTTCGCTAGACACTGAGGTATTTAGCCCATTGGAATGCATTGAACCACTTTTCAATGCATTTCAATGGGCTTTTTCGTTTCGCTTGGCGAGGGTTTCACTTAACAGTGATTTCAACGGAACGAATTATCCTCGTCAAGCGAGACACCACTGCAGCTGTTTCTCAATTCGTATCATATGCATATTCTGTCATTTTAAAATCTGCCTGTGCTTTACATTGTAAATCTATATGGTGGAAGATACTTTGTTATGGTTGTGTCATGAGAGGCTACAAGTATCTTAAACAGCACCAGACTGCCACCAGTAGTCTGGATCCCAGTGATTTTTATTATTAAAAGGTCTCCCCTCAACATCTCAAAGGCTTTCCCAGGGCAAAAAGGGAATCCTAGGGAGCCTTGGGAGTTGAAACAGGTGCAGAACTGAACCAACAGGATTTTGCCCAATATTTAAGGATTATAACATTTTAAAAATTGGCAAGTTCAAGTCACATCAAATCTGTTCTTCCACACTAATCCTTCCTCAAATTTTAATTTTCACAAAAGGTACACAAACACAATCACAGCAGGTTAATTGGCCAGTTTCATCTTAGTGCAGGAGCTCATTTGTTGCATTTGGAAGTCGACATATATGAAGCAATGGGAAAATATAGGGCTACTTGTACTGGGAAGTGGAATGAGAGACCACCCAGATACTGTTGAACTGCGACCAACAACCTGCATCACTGACCAGGATGGCTAGATCTCATGAGAGATGCAGACCATCTTTGGACAGCCACAGCCATATTCCCCCACCCCACCCACAGTTATTAAAGCCAGCCTAGTGAGATCCTAGTCAGATGCAGGCAACAGAGTAACAGTGTAGGACTAGGCAATCAAATCCTCATTCGCCAATGAAGAGCCACTGAATAACTTCAGGTCAGTCACCACCTCTCAAATTAACCTACTTCATAAAGCTGTTGTAACTGTTATTTCCCCCCCCCCTCCCATCAAGGAACTGGATGGAATATAAATGTGATAAAGACCTCAATGCAATTTCTTTGCTTTCTATGTGCACGCATTACCTAATGGAGTTGTTCTTGACCCGTAGGCAGCCTGTGAGGTCCAGATGCTCCAGTTCAGGACAGGCTTTGGCAACCTCCTCTACAGCGGTGTCACCAACATTTGCATTGACAGCCAATGAGAGGGATTTCAGTCTGTGGCACCTCTGTGCAAGGTAGCAGATAGCTTCATCTTTCAGCTGCCGGCAAGCAGTAAGGTCCAGGGATTCAAGTTCCTTGCAGTGGTCTGCCAGGCTCCGCAGAGAAAGACTATCCACCCACTCACAGTGGGCAAGGGAGAGCTGGTGTAAATTGGGGCAGCTCAGGGAAATGGCCACCAGAGCATGCCGACTCAATTGTACGCAGCCATTCAGGTCTATTTGCAGCAGCTGGTGGTTTTGGCCAATAACAGGAAGGAGCTCCTTGTCAGATAACCAATCAGAGCAGTTCTGTAGGAAAAGTCGTTGCAGTACCTCATTGTCTTTCAGGAGAGCGCTGAATGCCGCTTTTGGAATATGGGGTCCAACCTGCCACACACAAGGACAAAGTTCAATACTGTAGCCTTTCAAGTCCCTGCCAGCAGCTCTCCTCCTTCTCTCCCTCTCCCTGAACTCTTTTTTTAATTAAAAGGGAAAAAAAGTAATCAGTGCCAATAGGCATTGAACGGTGGGGAAGAGTTTTCAGAAGATAATAAAACAGATAATGTACACATATATTTTATGTATAGTCTACCTTTCCCCCTGATACAGGGACTCAAGACAGCTTACAGGATGACTTCATCCATCCTTTGTCAGTAAAAGAAAAAACTACGGGATCAGAAATGGGACTAGTAGAAGAAACAGAATGCACACTCCTTTAACCAATATGACATCACATTGTAAAAATCCAATAGCGATGAAAGTAGTCAATTGATTAGATGTGCGGGGTACAAATGCAATAAACAAACAAACAAACAAACAAACAAATAAATAAATAAATAAATAAATCCACTAGTAGACTTCCTAAATGATACAAACTGGACACAAATACAGACGTTAACCTGTGCTGTATTATTTCAAAATAAGCACAAGCTGAGTTTCCTTGGATTAGTATGCTGAGCAGAGGTTTGAGCGGAAGGTCGCTTGCTTTCGAGGGAAAACTCATTTACACTGAAGTACTAGTTATGCCAGTTATTCAGTCTAAAATCCCATCTCCTTTCCAGTGTCATCACACTGCTATGACTGCTGTCCTTTCCTCTATAATTATGTCTCATTTAGGCAACGCTAACAATAGTAATTTAACAAGCATTACAGAAATGTTCTACCACTGTATGGCTTGTACTTCCCTGTCCCATTAAGGATTAAATCAGATTTAGTCACAATTCCATGGAAATAAATGTCAGGTAGTAGTGACATAGAAATCCTTTTTAAAAATATTTTATTCTTTATCTCAAAATAAAATACTTGTTAATTTTTAATGTTTCTAGTTGGGGCAGCAGAGGGAGGAATCTTTGAACATGCATAGAAAACCCATTTTCCCCACATGTGTGTGGTGGAAATAAGTTTTCAACACCTCTAGGTGCAACTGGTCAGCCATGGTATCAGATACTATTACAGTGTATGCAAGGAGCACAAGCAAAAGCAGTCATACCACTGAAATAGAAGCATGTGTAACTATCTTGCCATTAGGGTATGGGAGAATCTCAAACATCTTAGTGAACCACCACTAAGAACTTGCAGTGCTGGCCCTTCCCACATTGCTATTCTCCCCCAGAATGCCTATGAGGAAATATCTGGCTCTGATAATGTACCGATTCTACATTCTCTTTGGAATGTCTGTTAAAATAGGAATCCATATAAGGCAGTGGTTCCTAAACTTGGGTAAAGCAAAGTGTGCTACTTAAAAACCGCCCACAGCACTTAAAGCATTCTAGGTGGTTTGCAATTTAATTATGCAGGATACAAATTGTCTCCCCAGCAAGTTGGGCACTCAATTTTACTGACTTCAGAAAGATGGAAGGCTGACTCAGACTCTAACCAGCTAGCTGAACCGGTCACAAACTCAGGTCATGAGCAGACTGGTTCTTAACCTTGGGTTACTCAGGAGTTTTGGACTGCAACTCCCAGAAGCCTTCACCACCAACTGTGCTGGCTGGGGTTTCTGGGAGTTGCAGTTCAAAAACATCTGAGTAACAAAGGTTAAGAACCACTGATCTAAAGAACTTCTAATTACAAAGGGCAACACCACATATAGTGCAGGGGATTAGGTGCGATTTTCATTTTGGTGACAGGTAGAGAAGGTGGGTGAGCACCAGAGGGGATGAGAGAAGAATCAGTTTAAGCATGGGCTCATGGACAGAAAGAATAAGGACGAAGAGTCATGTGCACCTTACAGACCAACAGGTATTACTGCACATAAACTTTCATGGACTGCTGTATACTTATCAGATGCAAGTAGGCAGCCTACAAAAGTTTATGCTAGAAGGGAGACTTCTTTTGAATCTGGGAACCTTTAGGGCCACAAAGGCTGCCAAAATGCTGCTCAAAGTAGCTAAAGATCCACTTCAAGTTTAAAAAAAAACCTGGTGTCCATATGGGTTAACTCATGCAGGAGGAGCCATGTTACCTATTTAAAAAGAGAAAAAACAACTCACAGAGGTTTCCAGAATCTGCAATTCATGTTTTGTTTTTGCTGGGAAGGAATGCAGCTGGAGGAGGGCTGGGAAAGAGGTCCATGTGGACCTCTGCCCACATGTCTTATGCCAAGCAAAACTTGTTAGTCTTTATGGTGCCAGGTGTCTCTTTGTTTGGCTGCAGCAGACACATCCTGCTACTCAGCAGAGAGAAAATGAAGAAGGGGAAAACAGTAAAAATCATGTCAAGCGATGTATACTTGCACACCTGGCTTCTAAGAGACATTTGAAGGCAGGGATTGTCTTATTACTCTTTTTTGTAAGCTGCTTTAGGACCATCTCCTGGTTACAGATGAAGATAAAATTAATAATAAGCAATTTGTTTTGTTACATATAAAACTTTTAGTTCTCCTGCTCACTGCCTCATCATAAGCATTTAAGTTATAGCTATGCATTCATCCATGTCCACAAGTAGCAAACCTACACAGTAGGTAACTTAAAATAAGTAGAACAATGCCAGAGGCACTTTTGCTATAATTTGAAGAATGTTCTTTGTTTTAATGAAGCAACAGACCTATGTGGTTAGGAAGCATATTTTGAGCTTTGACAACATTGAGCTTGTACATCCACCCAAAAATCCTGACACCTAAATGGCTCATCTTTCCAATAAAGTTATTTTCAGGTGTAAAATCCACTGTATGTTAAAATGAGACTGTAGATGTCAGAGGAATATTTGAGGGCGGAGCTTTGGCAGGAACCTCAGACCAACTCTATTGCCTTTTCCAGATAAATCTTCTGCATACCTTGTTTTCTTTTACATGGTTAAACAGGAAGATCTCTGTTGTACAGAACTTATTATTGAAGGAATCTATTACTGAAGCTCAAAAGGTTATTGGGCCGACCAGAGTTGTTAATTTGGCAAGTAAATCTTCTTGATATTACCAATTTTCAGTATTAATTTGAAAACCATTTGCTTTGACCCATGGACTTTACAGCTGCACAAAAAAAATGTAGTACAATATCTTGTTCCCAGCTTTCGTTCATTTGTTGGCCTCATTCACCCTGCTACACCTTCATCACTGTCTGGAAGTAGCAAACCTACATACCAGGTACCTTAAAATAAGCAGGACATTCCCAGAGGCACATCTGCTACAATCCAACAACTCTTGTTCTTTGCATGTGACTAAATGAAAACATTATTTACGAACACACCCAACCCATTGCAATTACCTGGCTAGAATCAAAACATCGCATGTTGGTAAGGTAAAGCTGAATTAAAGACTGGAATGCCTTGCTGACCCTTTGAAGGATCAAGAGCTGCTTCAGTGGGAGATATGAGAGAATGTGTGGGAAGAGGACATCTTCCCAGGGCAAGTCCAAGAAATGCTTTCTGTGGGAGAAAACAAAGTCAGTTAAGATAACAGTTGTGTGGAAATGCAGTGAAGTAAATCTGACAACTCTACCTTTAAAAAGTTAACAGCCATGAAAAGTCCTCTACTCTAAAGGGTAACCCCACCGCCACATGCCACTCTGACATATGTCACACAAATTTCTGTTAAAATATTATAGGGATAAAACCTCAACATCATTTCCCTCTGGCCTTTCCTGTCCCCACTTCACCTCTTGGACAGGCCCTACATCCATAAGTCATGGTGACTAAATGAAAAAGAGGACAGGATTCCAGTACCTTCAATAGACGCTCAGAAGAGGACATTTCAACAAGTGCAGCTTTTGAGGCAAGCTACACTTGCTGCAATTTCTTCTCTCTGTACTAATATTAAAGGTACAGGACTTATTCCATCTGGCCACCCTACCAATAAGTGCTCTTATGAGATCTTAGGTGGACTCATCTGATGCCAAGCAGATGAAACCCTTCAGACAACTAAGGGGCTAGCCCTGTTCCCAGTTTAGACTGTGGTATCCAAGTCTACCTAAATGTTTGCCTTGCCAGAACAAAAAGATGAAATGGTTCAAGTTCTCTGACCCCAAACCCTTATAGTCCCCTATCTTCAGGAAGCCTACATTTAAAATCATCCCCACCCCAAAAAAAGGAGGGAAGGGAAAAAAAGAAAGATTTTGTTAAAATACTATAATCCACCACATTGTCCAGGAATTACAACTAGAAAAAAGAAAGGAAATAATTAATTAGGCAAGTCTTTGACATTTTAGCCCAGCCTTCAATACAGGCAATTTTCAAAATCAATACTTGGGATTGCTAAAAAAGCCAGCATCATGTAGCTACTGTCCCGGACAGAGTGTCAGACTACCAGGTTCAAATCCCTACTCAGCCATAGGAACTCGAGGGGGCGGGGAGGGGAAGGTTAACGGCAAAACCGCTCCTTAAATATCTCACATACCTTGGAAACCCTCCATCCTCCTCCGCAGTTGCAAACGACTTGCCAGCGCACAACGCACAGCTTTTGAAGTTCAACATTTGCTATTTGTTTGGGGTGAGAGCGGGAGAAGAGCAATCATTCGTGCTCAAGTTCTCGGCAGATCAAAGGAATGCAAGAATGCAATGCTTAAACTATCAGCTTCTCCACTCTAGAGGAATTTCATTTCAGCGACGAGGACAATATGACAGGCTCATGCCCAATCGCGCCCGCTCGGGTCTCTCTGAAAGGCAACCTCTCCGATCCATGCCATAGAAACGGAAGCTCCGCGTCCACCCACCTCACTCACTCACTCACTCACCCACATTCTTTAGAAACGGCTTTCCCCTCAGCTCGAACCAACCAGCCCCGCCCTCCTTCTTGCCTTTACCCCTCCTCACCTAGTCCCAGTTGCCCCCGCTTCGCCTTCCCCATCTCCGGCCACCGGCTCCATCCTCCTCCCTGCAGCCGGCAAAAGCGAACTCAGTCAGCGCGTCGGAGAAATGACGTCAGGAAAGGAGGGACGGCGCTTCATGCCTACGTTCTCACCGCCGCCATTTTGTCACGCGTAGTAGAAGCTCATAGAGTTAGAAAAGTGTAGAGGCTCTCCATTATATAAATCTGATTTATATAATGGATAATGTTGTATGGAAATGCCTCCACCCTGCCCATATGTAGGGTGGTGGTGGTGGGTTTTTTTTTTTGCTTGTCTTGTGTTTGAAATGCCTCCACCCTGCCCATATGTAGGGGGGGGGCGGGTGTTGTTGTTTTTTTTGCTTGTCTTGTGTGTGTTTTTTGTTAATTTTGTATGTTTACATGTATGATAAAATAAAAAAAGTTTAAAAAAGAGAAAAGTATAGAGGGTCTAATTTCATTGCGTTACAATGAGAGCCCGTGATGCACTTCGCAATGTTGGTGTGAGGCTGAGATTTTACAGAGATTTTTTTAAAAAGAACTGAAAATTCTGTTACAGGTCGGGCGGAGGGAGGATATCAGAAGAACGCTGTGTTAGTGCATTATGTTGCAGCTCTAGAAAAGCAGAGGTGTGGTTATAGCGTTTTCTATATGCAGTCACAATTACAGTACCCACCCAAGACCGCCTGGGCTACAGCAAACGATTAGTTTCTCCATTCAGACCTTAAAATATTCGAGTATTGGAGCAAATAAAGTCTTCCTCACATGACAGTCCCGGCTAGAAAGAGGAAAAAGCACTACTTCTCCCATACTGTATGTATGAGGTAGGAAACTAGCTCCTACCCAATCACAGGTCAATTAAAAATCTGGATTTCTCCATTCATTGCCTTTTTAGACGGTTGTCACCTCCTCCTGGAGTTATAAAAAGTAGGTTCTGTTTAAGCCAATCAAGTGGCTTCATTTTTTAAAAATGTGGCTCCTATATAGAAAATTTGCCTCTTAGATGTGTAGTGCACCTTTATTTGGTGAAGGGGCTGTATTTCAGGGAAGCTGAGAGCACTATCCTCAGAAGCTCAAAATAAAGGTAATACTTTATTTGACCACCAGAGCAGGAAAAACAGCAAGCTTTTAAATCCAACAGAACTCTTCATTAGTCTCATTATTATGGAGCTTGAAGGTGGAAGAGAAGCAGAACAGTCCAAAAGACATCCTGGACAGATGCTGTAGTCTGTGAATCTGGATTAAATTAATGTCCAAGACAGAGACTGGAAGGTTATTTCATTAGCTTGGTTTCACCTCAGACAGCGTGAGATAAATTCCCCCCCCTCCCAATATTCCCCCACATGAACACCTTCATATGGTGAGAGGGTTTGAAACTGACTGTGTCACCAACATTGAGAATAGTACCATCAAGACGCTGGACCCCTAATTTAGTATCCTAGTAGTGCGGCAAATTGATTGAAACTGACATGCCAGACTAAAATTTATCAATTTGATACAAGAACAAATGGCAGCATGCACAGAAGAGAATTCATAATTCTAGTGGTGTCAAGTGTGGCAACATAACCAGGCAACATAACCAATAGCAGTAGTAGTAGTAGTAATAGTAGTAGTAGTAGAAGGTAATATTGCATAAGGGTCTTTAGTAGATGATCAGTTTTTCAGAAAACCTCCAGTTTATGATTGTGGGATATTGTGTTTCTGTATCCACAATTCAAAATGCCAGGAAATGGCCCAATGTTGCTACAAAATATCATGTGCTTGCTGCTAGCAGGAAAAAGTGTACCAAGATTTACATAAGAAAGGTCCGCCTGAATGTTGTCAGCACCAATGGCAGCAGTTAAGATGGTCTGCACAGGATACCACCTCGGACTCACTCCCATTCACTAGTCACTTGCTTTGTTCACTTATTTATTGCTCAGTATTTAGGCAGCTTCACTAGTCACTTGCTTTGTTCACTTATTGCTCAGTATTTAGGCAGTTTTGCTGTAATCTTTGCTTATCCCTATTGCCATCATTGTGTATGTTTTTATTCTATGTTCAGTAATATCCCCTTAAAACTACCCACGTTTTTAACATTTCATTTTAAAACTACCCATGTTCCCCAGTTTATCATTAAAGCTGCAGCCCTGTTGCCTTCCATGAATGGAACTGATATTTGCGCAGGTACTCTACAACACCCATGTGGCTTAGCAACCTTGGGAATGGCATCCCCACACCGGGTAACAATACCTTGACCACACTTTTTGATGTCACTTTTCATCACCTTTATAAAGCCTCCAGCAGAGACTTTAGGTAGAGTCATCATGTCCTCAACAGAGGAAAGCAGCTTGGCAACAGCTCCTGAAAACCAAAAAGTGGAAAAGACAGAAGATCTTTCTTCCAACAAAGCAACTGGGGTGAGGAAGTCAAATCTATTTCACTGGACTGAGCAGGATGCTTCCGACATAGAGGTGGGTGGGGAACATTTTCTTCCAGGTACTCCTTTTAAAAATCTGCTTGTAGGTTTCCCGAAACATCCTATTGGGCATCCTAAAAGATACCTTTGTTTTTTGGATCCTAAAGGGCTGCTTTAACAGCCAGATTTCATTGCAGAAGTACCAAAAATGTCTGCAATGAAGTGGTAACTTCTGAAAACCAAAAAGTGCAAAAAGCAGAAGAGCTTTCCTCCAACAAAACATCAGGTGAAGTATTCTAACAATTTGGGGACTGAAATAGGTGGTGGGGAAGGATCACCAGTGACCACAAGTTACAATGACTCTGAAGAAGATATGAAATTGGAGGCATGACACCATCATCAGAAATGGAAGATGAAAGGCAGCTTCATCCAGCACTTTGTCAGCGGCTTGTGCTTAGCAAAGGAAAACTTTGACTTCAAACCACCACTGAGGAGCCGCCATCGGCCTCCATGCTGTGACCGAGCAGGCCAGGTAGGTGGGACTCAACAGCCCTGGAAGGCAGCCCATCTAGGAGAAGGAAAGCTCCGATTTCAAACCTCCACTGCCTTGTGGCTATATCCACCGATGGAAAAGGCTTCAGGAGTTAACCTCGCGGCAAAATCCAGAGCCAGAGTCCCGGAGGCAGTTCGTGTCATTCTGTCAACTCCTGCAACGTCGCTGAAACCAGTTGTATTGGCTCTTGCCTTTCCATTGGACTATTTCAGTGATGTGGAGAAGGGGAATATGCTGCTTGGGTAACAGCCTATCCTTCATATTATTTTACTCAGGCTTCGTGTCCTGGAGAGGATACTCCAGCTTCGCATACAGTGTCAAAACACTAAACACTGTTCCAAGTCCTCCATACAGAGCACGTTACCATAGTCTCTCGAGACTGAAGGATGCCTATGATGTGGAGGGGATGCCTTTATTATTTTCATATTTTTCATGCACCAGTTCTTTCATTTTACACAAACAAGAAAGCCTCTTTTAGGTCATTTATTCTGTGTTTCCCCATTCATGGTTGTTAGCACTTGAAAAGCCCTAAAGAACCCTTTAAAACTACTGTACTCCAAAAAGGCAGAGGCAAGGCAACAATCAATCTACTCCAAAGGCAGTCAGCAGTACATGGGAAAGAAAAATACTGTAATTTTTAGCCCTATATAGGCACTAGTTTATATTATGCCATCCAAGACAGCCAAGATGCTTCATCCCAACCAGTCCTACACAGAGAACAAACAAACAAAAACCCTCATCTTCTCACCAATTCAAAAAAGTGAGAAAGCACCCCAAAATTAAAAAATAGAAAACAGTATGAGTTCAGTGGCACCAATCAAGCACAAGAGACCCTCTGGGTCTGAGGAGCATAACAGCTCAGAGCAAGGAAACAGGCAGGCAGGCAGGCAATGGCTGCCAGGCACATAGAGACACCCACTCACCAAAGCAACCACCAACAATACAACATCAACAACTACAGGAGATAAATGCCCCGCGTTTTGCCCATCCAACCACCACCACCACCCACTCAACCTAGTGGCACATTGGAACAGTCAGAAAATCCACCCCCTGCTCCACACACCCAACAGAAATAAACAATATAGAAATTGGGGGATTGGGGAATCATTCTAAGGAGGCCTGCTGGCACAGGCAGACTGCCCGACAGCCACAAGAATAGTCTAAAGAAAATGGAAAAATCCCGAAAAGTAAAGAAAAGGGTTTTAAAAGGAAATAATTAAAGATGAAGGCACAGCAGACAGGCAGCACTCTGAGATGGAGGGCACCAGGAGCTCAGCACATAAAGAATGAATGACTGAAGCAAGACTACTTGCTGAATTCCAGGCTGTTTTACACATTTGACATCCTCATTCTCCCCTGGACATTCTGATTGGCTGCTGACTGCCCTTGCAAGATGAAAAAAACATTTTGACAGACAAAAGGTGAAACAGAGGGCACTGAAAACTTATATAAAAGAGGAAACACAAAAGAAACATGAAATGTTCATGGACTCCATTCATGCTTAGAGGCTGGCTTTTAGCAATCAACAGAAGAACATGAATTCATGAAAGAAAGCCTCTTTAGTGTTTTTGATCTTTCATTAAAACATGAAAGGCTCAGCCTTGCTTTTTCCCTGTAAACTATATTCTTCTAAGCATCACACTCATGGCTCCTTTCCAAGGCATGGAGAGAAAAGTGTGTGTGTGTGTGTGTGTGTGTGTGTGTGCGCGCGCGCATGTGTGTGCGCGTGTGTGTGCGCGCGCGCGCATGTGTGTGTGCGTGTGTGTGTGTGCGCGCGCGCGTGCATGCGTGCGTGTGTGTGTGTGTGTGTGTTCCATCTAGTGGCCAGGCAAATACTCTGGGCAGCTTACAACATGCAACCATACACATAAATAAAATTCAATAATAAGAATTGTTAATAAACAATCAAATTAAAACTGTGAACAAAAGAAAAATCAACCCCATGCTAACAATAGATACAAGATAGCAAATTATGATGGCAGATGAGAGATGCAGTAATCCAAAATAATTAAAATAAATTAATCCAAAGTGAGGTTATGAAAGGCCTGTGTAAATAGCCACTTGTTTTCTGACGCCACGGAGGGAAGGACCAATCACACCTCTGTCGGGAGAGAATTCTACAATCAGACAGTCACCACAGAGAAGACCTAGTTCTGGTTTGTTGATTTCTGGACCTCCCTCAGGGTGACCA